CCGGTCCGGCAGATCTATAACATATCCGCCTGGCACTCTCTCCGCTGGGAGCGTGTTAAGAGCGTCGTCGACGAAACACGACAAGGGGGTTTCGACGGCCTCGTCGTAGCAACCACCTTGGATGTCAAAGGCGTGCTTAAAGAATTAGTCCCCTTGGTCCGCGGCGGCGGCAAAATAGTAGTCTATAATCCCTATGTTGAACCCCTCGTCCAACTCTGCGACTACTACTCCAAGGATCGTCGCACCGCCTTCCTCGCTCGCGAATTCGGACTGCAGGCCTCGTCGGTATCACACAAGGCGCCGCAAAACGGTAACGGCGATAGAAAACGCACGAGAGACCTGCGTGCCGCCGACGCCGACGAACACAGCGAGGAAACCGAGCCAGATGACGACGAAGACTTCCCACTCAATCCAACACTCCTCCTCGCACCGACACTGCAAACCGCCCGTGCTCGCCACTGGCAAGTCCTCCCCTCCCGCACGCATCCCCTCATGACGAGTAGAGGTGGCGCAGAGGGCTATGTGTTTAGTGCTACGCGTGTTTTGCCTGTGGAAGGGCGGGTCGAGGCACGGGGTCAGCATGGGAAGAAGAAGAGGAAGGTGGATGTTGAGGCTGAGGGGGATGCTGGGATGTAACAAAAATGTGTTTTTGGGGCTCAGGTGCACCAGGAAAGAGGGAGCTGTGGGTATTGGCAAGGCGAGGACGCGGGATGGCTGTGGACGTATGGTGTGGAATGATATTTGACCACCAACTACATTTTGAACATTAAACCTACAATACCAACGCCTTTACAACATCTCCCTAGCAAACTTCACTCATACGGGTAGTAGATACAACATTGTTGGCACCCACCCAAATAAGGCCAAGGTTAAACGTTTCCTAGTCTTTGAATCAGACATCGGACATAGGTACCTAGCTCGCAAGAGACCAGCGCCGATAGGTCCGTATCACAGCCCCTGCTCCTGCGTCACCGCGCCAGTATGTCATCGATGAGGGCTTCTGGTGCCGCAACCCCGCTTCCAAGGCAGACGCCATCGAGGTGTGCAACAGAAGGCGGGGAAACCATTGAATATTAGACAAATTTCTTCTTCTGCACTTGACGAAGCAGGGAAGCCTGGAAAAGGGCTTATCCTAGTTTGACATGGGATGTAGATTTCTGTTCTAGGAAAGTTGTTCATGAACAGAGGCGGCGATGCGCCATTGGCATGCCATTGATATATTTGAATTTGTGCATGAATTGCACGCTGCGCAAGTCATTGACGAGACTACACAAAGTGTAGTAAGATGACGGAATGCAATTATTCGGTCCAGTAGAGCTGGAACTGTGTAATAGTAATAATAGGCAAAGCGCATAAATACGAATATATTAAAATCAAACTGATGGTGTTGATTCCCAGAATCAATTTATTCAATTGGAATAAATATAAGATTGAGGCAAAAATATGCATCTGTTGTCAAGCACCAGTGGTTTAGGGGTAAAATCTGAGCTTCCCATGTGGAAATTGCTCAGGCCACGGGTTCGAGTCCCGTCTGGTGCATCTCCAGATGAAATGCCCTCTTATTTTGTTTTTTGAGTTTTTTTGTTGTTGCGGTTTTTTTTTTTGAAGGCTGTTGTCTAGTTGTTAGAATGAAGACTCATGTTGACTTGGAATTCCAACCTTTTCTTTTGCTTCCCTGAGCTCACAATTTTGACCGTGTTGGTGGCGTTTTGTTACTGAAATATTCCTAAGACAAATGCAGATATTGCTGGAGAAAACTACCTAAGAGTCGTAAGCCGCAAGGTACACACTGTGGGGTAAAGTTGTCGGCACCGTGCGTCATCGCATCTCTAACGTCAACCTGCTGGCGTCGAACTCCGCGCAATCAAACACCACCCTGACCAGCAGCATATCTCCACAGTCCTCCCGCCATGGCGAATAAGATAGAAAAGACGCTGCAGCGACAACGGGAAAAGTAATACCTCCCTCTCAAACCGTCCACACCAAAGCTAATCCCTCTCTAGAATCGCAGAAGGTCAATACTACGAAGCCCACCAACAACTCCGCGTCGTCGCCTCGCGCTACACGAAAGCCCAAGACTGGTCTAACGCAACTGCTATTCTCTACGAAGGCGCGCAATCCCTCCTGCAAGCCGGCCAAGGTGGTTCTGGCGGCGACCTCTGCGTATTCCTTCTCGATGTCTACAGCAAGGGCGAGATCAAACCGGATGCGAGTAGCAAGGGAAAGCTCTTGAGTCTGCTACGCGCATTCCCCAAGGATGAGCCGACCAAGAAGAAATTTGTCGGGGAAATGATAGCATGGAGTAGCAAGTTTGGAGAGTTTCCGGCCGGCGACCCAGAACTACATCATGTGGCTGGCACTCTGTTTGCAGAAGGCAAGTTTTTTGTTCCACATACCCGTCCACTACACAACGGATACTAATTCAAATGACTTGAGTAGACCTCGAACCTTACGACGCAGAACGCCACCTCCTCCTCGGCACCCAAGACTCTCCCGACACCCTCTCCTCATTAGAGTACGCCTGGTACGAAGCCGACGACTCACACACCGCACCCCTCTACTGCGCCCGCGGCGTCCTCCCTTACCTACTCACCGGCAACCTACGTGCCGCAAACAAATTCTTCCTCCTCTTCACCTCCCAACTCGCCAAGAAGCCCAATCTCAACACGCAAAACGTATCCACAAATTCCACCGAACTGCGCGTGTATCCTTCCCTACCGCTGCTGAATTTCTTGGGCCTTTTGCTGTTGAGTGTGGAGAGGGGCGATCCCAGTCTGTATAGGCAGTTGAAGAGCCATTATGTGCAGAATCTCAAGGATGTGAATTGGAACGAGGCGTTGGATCAGATTGGCGAAGTGTACTTTGGCATCAGGATACCCAAGCAGGGGAACCCCATGTTCGATATGCTGGGCAGCATGTTTGGTGGTGGTATGGGTGGAGGTGCTGGTGCTAGTACTGGTGCTGGTGGAGCAAAGAAGAGCATAGGTGGGCGGGCACCTCCTGCTTCAGGGCTGGATTGAATGGCATCATAGGGCAGAGATGCGACGGTTGAACCAAACATAGCGTGTATATGAGGGCAAGATACCCGTGTACAAATCATACGCATACATCGCAAAATTCTGCTCGTTATATTTTTATTCAGTTTACTTGATGATGTTTCTATCTGCGCAGTGCAATCTCATCATTCCTAACCTTTTTCATCTAGCCTTGCAAGCATCTCAGAGCTTCTACTCCAAGTCTACGCAGGGACAGTCTTCTCCCTGAAGCGCACACCATACTGCTCCTCCAGCGTCTTCATCAACGGTCTGCAAATCTCCGGGCTCATGGGAGCCAGGATACCCTTCTCGCTCAGAGTGCCGTCAAGAACCTGCTGAACAGCAATGGCGCAGGGAACACCGACCAGCTTAGCCATGGCAGAGTAGCCCTTGGGGTCACCGTACTCGGCAAGCGTAGATGTGCGAATCACCCTGCTACGATCCTTGTTCTCAATCTCAAACTTGTGCTGCAGCATGAGGAAGTCACGCTCGCCCTCCTCGTATTGCATCTTCTTCTCCAAAGTTGCGCAGAGGGTATCGAGCGGGTTGCCACGGGGGATAATCTCCTCATCGGAAATGAGGCCGATCCATCGCAGACCGGTGATGATGCGGTCCTTTTCCTCGGTGCTGGAGAATTTGGTGCGTGAGCTGATGGCCCAGATAATGTCCTCGTCCTTGCTGCTGGTAGCACCAATGATCTTGGCAGTCGCATCCCTCCATGAGCTCTTGGTGCCTTCCTTGAGGAAGTCCTTGGGTTCCTCCGACAAGAAGCCAATGTCTACAAGGGCCTTGATGTACTCGGGGAATCCCTGGTAGCGAAGAGTACCACGGATGATAGTCTGTGCCTCAGGGATGTTGTAGCGCTCCTTGTATGGCGTAGAGTCGCGGTTGGGGTATGCGACAAAGGCGTAACCAGGGTAAATGAAGTATGGCTTGGCCTCAGCCATCAGTTCGGGGCCTTCGACCTCCTTGATCTTGCCATCCTCATAGTACTTGGCCTGATTCCTCAGGGCCAAAAGCACTCCACGGGAACTCCACGAGAACTTGTACCCAAGGGGGTTGTCTGAGTTTTCGGGGGCTGGGAGACCACCACAGAAGGACTTGAACGACAAGATCTTGCCACCGGCCTTGTGTACCTCGTCGATCGTGAGAACGGCGGAGAGATGGTCGACACCAGGGTCAACGCCGATCTCGTTCATGACCGTGATACCAGCTGCCTTGGCCTCAGCATCGAGCTCCATCATCGCAGGCGACACGTATGAGGTTGTGACGACGTTCTTCTTCTTGCGGATCGCAGATTTGATGACTGTCGCGTGGTATGTGTAGGGGATCAAACTGATAACGACATCGACTTTGGCGACCTCCGCGTCGAGAGCATCAGCGTTGTTGACATCGAGCTACTATATTTAGCATTTTTCACTTCAAATCCATCGTCCAAGCAAACTTACGCTGATGGTCGATGTGTTGGGAATGCCCTTGGCAAGCGCCTTTGCCTTCTCAAGCGTCCTGCATGCGACTGTGACTTTGACACCGGACTTTGCAAGAACTTCTACGGTTGGCCGTGTACTGTTTTAATTAGCTTGGGAAGGGGGATAGTGCTACTAATGACATACACGAAGCCAGCACCAAGTAGAAGAGCAGACCTGCAAGCTTGTTAGTCCACACTGTTTTGAGGTTCGACATTGAATACACTTACTTTCCGCTGTATGGGCCCGTAGTGGCACCACTGACGCTGTCCATGACGTTTTGGAATGTATCTGTATTGTAAGCGAACATTCAGTTCTTTAATTGATGAGTTACATACTGGTTAGAGCCTCCATTTTATGTATTCTGTGACTGGTTGTAATGCTTGGAAAAAAGTTGTCGAGACTATATCTTCTGTCGTCGAGTCCGATTCGGAATACTCAGATTTTGGCGGGGTTACTCCGTCATCGCTCCGCCACCTTCTCGGAGAGGAAAGTGGGGCGAGGGTTGGAACAGTCTTCGGGCCGTCAGGTACGCCGGGGCTAGTGCTCAAAGCAGATTAGAACGTGCATGCCCGACGTGCCAGGTACCGCGTTTCAAGATCACGTTGGTCAACAGCAACTACATTCACATTGCACTGTGAGATTAACACTATACTCAATAAGTTTGTGTAAAACCCTGAGAGACAAATTTAATCCTCAACTACTCATTTTGTTGTTGTTGTGAACGGCCAGCTCGTCAGGCATCAGCGTCAACATGCCTTCAGCCATAGATCCCGAAGATGACCTATGGGTAGCTATCAAACAAGTATTCACTTATATTACATATTGAAGTGATATGTGCGTTCTAACGAGTTCTAGATCTCACAGTCTTCCATAGGTTCGGACTACATCGACCAACTCATACCGATTATGAAAGATGCACGCTACTCGAATCAACTTCAATATACATTCGATCGCTATGCCAATGACCGGGAATCTGAAATTGAGCGCATATGTAATGCGAACCACCAAGATTTCGTCAGCTCTGTGGACGCTATGCTTAGGATCCGGGACCAGACCGTACAAATGAGCGGTGAAATCCTGCAACTCAGCGAAGCCATCCAAGAGAGCATCGAGAAGCTTGCCGAGCAGAAGAAAGCATTAGTCGACTCACGCGGTGTGCGTCAAAATATTGATGAGGCAACGAAGGCGCTGAACGCTTGTCTCAATGTTTTGCGCATCGCCAATCAGGTCCAGGACATGCTGAGGGAGAAGAACTACTACGCAGCGCTTCGGGCGCTGGACGAGCTGCAGACAATCCACTTGAAGGAGATCAAGCGTTTCAAAATCGCAAATCTCATCGAGAAATCTATTCCACAGACGCAAGAGCAGATTCGAGAGGCAGTGAAGAATGACCTGAGTACGTGGCTGTATCGCATTCGAGAATCGGCCCAATTCCTGGGTGAGGTGTCTTTCTACTACACCGATGTGCGTAGAACGCGAAATCAGGAGCGCGCCGAGACCGACCCACGTTTCGCGAAGTTCAAGCTGAACTCCGCAATAGAGCTCGTGGCAGATGAAACAGATGAGTTCGACGTGCTGAATAACGAAGAAGCTGGAAATGAGACCGATTTCTCGCCACTGTTCGAAGCGATGCACATCAATGAGACGCTTGGCAAGAGCGACCAATTCAAGGCCGAGTATGCGGCGGATCGAAGAACACAGAAAGATTTGATTATTCCCAACAAGCTAGATCTCCTCGACGAGGAATGTGGAGATCTAAGTAGTTTGCTGGAAAGTATTGCAGGCTTTGCGATCATTGAGAAAGCTACTGTGTCGAAGACAGCTGGCTTGCGATCACCAGCTGATGTATGTGGCGCCTTCTGAATCATTTGGGGCAATACTAACATGGACGTAGGTGGACGACCTCTGGGACTCAATGTGCCAGAGTGCGATCAAACTCATCACAGGTCAACTCCACACAGTCGACAATGACGAACTGCTATTGAAAATTAAGGGTCGGATAGCTCTCTTCATGTTGACAATGGAGGTGTGTAACACTTGAGTGATTGTGGTCACATGCACTAACAGCTAATTAGAAATGGGGATACTCCGTCTCAGCCATGAATGATCTTCTTCTTACACTCTTCTCCAAGTATTCCGAGTTGCTCAAACAGCGCTTCAGCGAAGACTTCCTCGAGATTGTCCAGACAGATGACTACATGCCCATGCCCATCAACAGCTACGAAGAGTATGATAAGGTCGTCTCCGTCAGCTGGTACTCACCCGAGAAGCCACGTGACGAGCTCACCTTCCCATGTGTGCTTCCCTTCTCCCAAATGTATCCGCTCTGCTGCATCGACATTCGCAACTTCCTCAACCAGATCTACTTATTCTCCGATGACTACTTTCAAAAGTCCACCATCATCGACGAAACACTACGCACGGCTCTCGACGATCTCCTCTGCGAGCAAGTCTGCCAATCGCTCATAGATCGCCTATCATCCCAATATCCCGGTCAGATCGTCCAAATCTTAACAAACCTCGAACACTTCGAGACGGCCTGTGTTGAGCTACAAGATCTTCTCTTCGAAGCACGATCCTCGCCCTCAGCAACCGGCCCCATTGTCCTTGCCGCAACCGACAAATTTGCAAAAGCAAAGCAGCAAGCCTCCAACCGCGTCTTCGAGCTCGTAAACAGCAAGATCGACGACCTCATCGAGACAGCAGAGTACGATTGGATGGCCACCAAGCCGGAACAGGAACCCAGCACGTACATGCTCGAACTCACCCGCTATCTGAGTAACATCATGTCTTCGGTCCTCCTCGCGCTTCCTACCGAGATTAAAGAATTCATCTACTTCGACGCCCTTTCCCACGCCTCAAGCGCGATTCTTGATCTCCCGCTCTCAGAACACGTCAAGCGCATTACGCCCGCTGCAGTCGCCACACTGGCAAACGACACGCGCTTCCTGAGCGACTTTGTCGAGTCGCTGAACAATCCGATTTTGATGGAGAACTTGGATGAATTGACGCAGACGGTCGCGCTCATGGGTAGCGAGAATAGCGAAGAGTTTTTTGATATTGCGCAGCGGAATCGCAAGTATGGCAAGGTGGATCAGCTCAAGGGTGCAATTTTGTTGGAGAAGGTGCAGGAGGGTGCGCAGGTGGCGGCGCAGAGTCCTACGAAGCCAGCTGCGAGTGAGAGATTCGGCACCCTGGGTAGTCGATCGTTCTTATCGATAAGCTTGATGTAACTACGCATTATCGTC